GTTTTCGTCGTCGCTCTGTTAGTACGTCATATGCTTCATTGATCTGATTGGTTTATTTGGCCCGTCTATCGCCAACATAGGCCAATCAGCTAACCAGTATTTTCGCCCCTTCCCAAAATTACTTCAACGGAAGGTTATTGAGTTATCACCTCAACAAACATTTTCATTGTAATTTTAACTGGATTTCTTATTTCATGGAAATTATTTTTACTAAAGATAATTTTTTTTTTATGGTTATAAAATTAAAAAAGTCAAATACAGGATGGATACATTTTCTTATGCTGTAATATGTTCATACATAATTTCCAACTGAATTATATATATTTAAAAAAAATCTAAATTGAAATGCAAAACAGTCCACATAGGTAAAAAATAAAAACAGAAAGAAAAATGCAAAAACCTGTATTTATTTATTATGTCTATATTCAGACACATCTTTTTTTTTTTACCAAAATTATTAAATAGGAGTGTGGAAGGTTGTGGCTGCAGAGCTGCAGAGCTGCGCCAAGCTAAACTCTGTGCTAACTGATGGAGACACTCCTCCACATTATGTCTACATGAATACAAAGGTTGGATTAAAGCAGCTACACTGTGGCCGCTAACTGCTGAGATCAATGTTTGCTTACAGGAAATAAAAGAGGATGTTTAAACATGCCTGGTGATCAGAGAAGAAGAAGTGTTTCTGTCTAACAGGACATTTTACACAGCCACTAAGCAGCTCTTTAGCATTCCTACACATGATGGTCGATATTCCATCTCAGGCTGATTACGTAAACTATGAGTTAAAAGTAATGATTCAATGAGCTCTGCAGTGTCTGTCCTTCCTTCTTCATTAACTGTCCACAGCTGCAGTGGCTCCGTCTGAGCTGCGTGCCTCCATGGCCTCAGAGCCTGGCTACAGATCTACCGCTGTTTACAACCGTTACCAGGGCAACCTGTGATGCTTGAACAACACATGCGTCATCAACAGACCGCAGCATCAACAAGTTCAGCAAAACTGAAACTACATGTGCACACAACTGCTGCTGGTCTCTAAATAAACACGAGCCCCTCTCTGCCCTGCGCAGACCGCCATCGCACGCCATCAGCCCGGCGCTCCAATGTTTGCCGGCCGCTCTAACGGACAGATGCGCTGAATGAACTCCTCGGGGTTTTCCTGCAGAGGTTGTTCAGACTTGAGTCGTTGCAGCCTCCGCTGAGCGACGAGCTGCGGTCACAACCAGCCTGGGCTGTTATGTAATAAAAATGCATCATCATGAGGAAGTTCTTAATGGGTCACAGGAAAAAACAAGGCAGGTTGACTTCACTACATGTGGTAGTTTTTAAAGCTATCTTGATGGTATTTAAAGCGACAACACCAACACCTTAGTGGGAGTGAAATAAACAGTTTTCAGACCTTTGTTTTTAATAAAGGCCATCAAAATCAGAATTTTATCAAAAATAAACCATCATACAAGCAGCTTTATTTAAAACACACATATATAAACTACTCTCCATGCATATTTTGAACGTACTATCACGCAGATTTAATACCATAAGGCTTCTGTATGTGACAACCAGGAGTTTATGCTCCTTCTCTTGCTCTTTATGTGCCCATAGACTCGTGTGGACCATTTTTCCAGAACCATTCAGTACAGTTTTCTTTCTGAATGTGGCTAATAATGTTAGCATAGCATCTTTTAAACTACTAGCTGTTTTCTTCAAGAGTTAAAATATATTTTAATTTTGAAATAACAATAAAAACTTTAACTCAGTCATAAATGTTTTTTGGTGCTCTGAAATTATTAGTGTTAAATTTGGAATTTCATGTGAGCTAAGCTAACGTTAGCTTCATGTCCATATTGAGGAAATTGAAACTTAAATGGTCTCTGGTTTATAGCTGAAAACAGACATTTACATTTACAGTTTGCACCTACTGTTAGCCAATTTTTATTTCAGCATTGTGTTTATAAATAATTTATTGATGACTGTTGGATAAAAAGTCAGAATTCAACTCTTAAAGAAATTAGCTACTAGCCTAAAGATACTTTGCTAACCCCAGTAGGAAGAAAACAGTTCTAAGAGTTTTCTGAAAAAGTAGACAATCAAAGGCTGTTTACTTTTTCAGGTTGGTTTCACCCTTAATTCGACAAAAGTTGACATTAGCCACAGAAAGAGATCGACACTCATTTAGGTGATAATCTACAGGCGGGGATTCGTTTTAATCAGCACATTTTTAGTCTGCGTATTACACTGAAATTGGATGAATAATTGGAATCTGCTTAAGTCCAGGAAGCTAACTGGAGTTAGCAATGTTTTTAAGCCCTATCCTTAGACCTTACAGGGCATTACATCATGGTTGGGTCTTATTTAGCAGCTGTTTCAATGGCCAGCTTCCTGCTCTTTGGTAGTTTAGTGGTACTCCAGGTAGATGGCGCCACATCTGTTCATGTTAGCTCATTGCAACCGGTGCTGGGTTTCTATTTAGGCTAAAAAAGAACAAGCGGAACACTATCAGGATAGAAGCTCGGAGTATATAACCTTCCATCATCACCATCAGATGGATTTTGGTCTTTATGGTGTTGGCATATAGCCTCGTGAGACCATCCTGATCTCGCGAGCTTTCAAGGTTTCACTCGCAAATCAGTCTGGAGACTCTCCGTTAAAGAAAATTTGGAGCCGTTCACCAAACGAATGCTTCGTTGATCTGATTGGTTTATTTGGCCCGTCTATCACCAACATAGGCCAATCAGCTAACCAGTATTTTCGCCCCTTCCCAAAATTACTTCAACGGAAGGTTTCCAGATGGATATGCGGAGCAAATCCATCTGGTGGAGTCAGGTTAGTTGGCATATAGTGTGACTGTGCACCTTTTAACATTCAGTAGCAGGGTGACATGATTTTACTTCATTTAGTGTATTTTAAAGGGCTAAATAAACAAGAGGTTAATTGATTCAAACAGCACTAAAGCTTTTTTTTCCCCAGACATGTCTGCTGCGTTCATTGGCCTTCACAGAGCAGCTGTGTTTATACAGAGATCAGATAAAAACCAAATACTGATTAGGTGGCAGGCAGTTGAAACTAACTCTTTATTGATATCAGGGTAAAACGGGGCTGAATGAAACTTTTCTGACTTCTGGAAGTAGCCTGAAGTTCAAATAATAAACCAGGTGGAATGTTGCTACTTTTATGAGGTGCCTCACAGCCCTGATGTACAAATAGAAATCATTGGATTTTTGTGAGACCAACAGAGTTAAGAAAAAATAAAAAATGAAAAACCGGAGGAAAAATTGGTATTTTCTCCAGGCCTGTGTCAATCTTCGCTGCTTGTTCAAACACACACACTTCCAAACGTTTATTCTTCCACCCAACTTTCCACACTCTGATGGATACAGCACTCTGTAACATAATCATATGATTGGAAAAAGTGAAATCCAAGCAGACAGCGAGGAAATTTCCAACCCCCAAAAATTTTCCGTTGCCTCGCCACTTCTTCACATGGTTTAGATCTGAAGCATGTCTGGCATGTAAACCACATGATATCTGGGTTTTTATTGCACTTTTAAAATATCAACATATAGTGCATCTCGGCCTTCATACCTTTAAGTATTGGATGTCTTTGACAGAAGTCAACTCCGGTAGTCCAGCAGTCAGCATGAGGGCAAACAGGGTGATGAAGAGGTTGCCGTTCTTCCTCAAGACAAGATAAGCATCCTCGCAGTACTGACGGAAACTAGAAGGGGAAAATATCAGCTCAGTTGCTTTTCATGTAATCTTGACCTTATGCAAAAAGGAAATGATTAAATGCAAACCAACAGAAATAAGACTTTTGATGTTTTGTGAACTGAATGAAAAATACAGCTT